AATTTGAAATTTTTAACCCTTCCAAGGACCCTTAAACCCTCTTAAACTCTTAAAAACTATAAACTAAAGATTTGGGAGATATCCTAGGGTATCCAAAATTCATCCAAAAATTTATTAGGATTAAAAATGAGCATAATTTTAAGGAAGGGCAATATGGTCTTTGTGGCTTATAAGCTTTTGTTTTAAAAGATTGGGGGAGTCTTCTAGGGCTTCTAAAGCTTCATTCTCACAACTTTTAGAGAGAGAGAGAGAGTGGAGAAGAGAAAATCAAGAAATAGGGGGAAAAGGTATGTATTTTAGCCCAATCTCAAACTCTCTTTGGTTTTTCTTCAATATTTTTACATGTATAGCTTCCTCTTTTTATTTTATAGCTTTTAATCAGCATAAATTTTATATTTTGATGTTATTGTGTGTTGTAGAGAGAGAAAGTGGGTTTAACCTCACCCATGGGATATTTTGCTTTAATTTTGATATTTCTTGTTAAAGTACCCTTAGATATTATTTTATTTGGAAATATCTATGTTTTCATGGTTGGATTAAACCTTGAATGAAGTGATTATGGTTGAAATGTAAGAGAAATGGGTGAGATGTTGTTGAAATGGGATAAGGGCATGTTTGGTTGAAGTTGAAATGGGAAAAAAGGGGATAAAGGCATGTTTGGATGAAGCCCAAAAGTTAGAGAGAGAAAAAAAGTTATATTTATACGTTGTAGGGTATAGATATTACTTTCGCATGATGTATTTAAGATATTTCTCTCATGTTTGTGTATCCCTCTTGTAGGAGAGGATACCTCAGTTACTTCAGACCCTAGACCTACAACTTTAGGACCACCCTTTTAGGCTCATATTGCACGATAAATGGAAATCTTCCTAATCTTAGTTATTTTTCCAAACCATGATTTGAAATGAACAATGATCACTATAAACCCAATTATATGTTACTAATATGAACATGGGAAACAGTCTGACTATAATTTGATTTTGGTTATATGCTCAATTTAATGATTTTTATGAGTTTCTATTATTTTGGTGCCTTAGCACCTAGACCATGATGTCGGGCAGCCATCTAGGGCAAGTGGCGGTTCTACTTGCATTACATGATATGTGTATGTTTATTTTCTTCGTGAAAAGGGACCATGCGCCAAAGACTGTGTTAGTTTGGCTGGGGAGTGGCGACCCCTAACGCAAGCTACACAATGTAGTAGCGCCCTACATAGTTATGTTTTACCCAATAAGAGCTCATGTTATGTTTTATGATTTTACTGCGCCCAGACACCTTCGACTGTGCACATCCGACCAGAGTATACATGTGAATACATATATCATGATTTTTATGATTTTCTATGATGCCCATGAAGTCTCTTATGATTTATGCTCATGCTCTCTCTCATGTATTATGACTTGGCACAATAACAATTGAGCTTTTATACTGCTAAAAATTTATTATAATGCCTCTTGATATGAAAACTTACGAGAATGTTAATATGGTTTAAATAGATACGAAAACTGACTATTTCCATTGGAATTAGTTGGATTATCATTCACTGGAACGTTAGTCTTATCCACTAATTTTTTCCCCTGCAAATGCTGAGATATTAGTTAGAATCTCAGTGTTCATATTGCCTGTGTCCTGCTCCCTTTATAGCACCAGGTTGGGCCAAGCTGCAAGGATTGTTTTGATTATGTTTTAATAGATTTTGGGATGGCTATATTCGGGAGCCCTTTTATATTTTGGATAATTATAAATAATTGTGATGTTGAGATCTTATGGATGAATTATTGGTGGTTAAGCATATGTAATGATTTTGAACATGACATAATATTAGATGATTATTGGAAATGTGATACAGGATGAATTATGCTTAAGTTGTGTGTTGGATGAATTCTTGCAAGTTATATATTCTTGTGAAATTGTTAGTTAAGCAAATACTTAAACATAGGGCCCTTGAGGCCAACTAAAAAGGGGTTATAATAGCCGGCATGCTGTCAGATTTTATCTGGCGGTGTGTTAGTTATTACCCCGCTGTCATGCTTTTAAAGGTTTGAGAGGTTGAGGTGTGACAAATAGAGTTATTTACAATGTTGCCACCGCCTTTTCAATTTGGGTAGAAAAAGGCTGGAAACAACTTTTTGTTGTTTCCAGTTCTTAACCCATTTTAGGAAACGTTTCTAGGAAATGAAAACGAAAAACATTCAACCAAACACGTTTTCAGCACAATTTTCTATTTTCAGTGAAAATGAAAATAGAAAAAGGCTAAACCAAACAGGCCCTAAGCTATAAATTTGTAAAGAGTAGAGGCTCTTAATGAATCGGGTTTGAATGCTATCGTGACTTAGGGTGTAGGCCTAGTACTTCATATCAAACACTTGGGATAAGCCTATCCTCACTAGACAATTTACACAATCATTGACCCTTCTAAACACATGACCTTAATTTGCCATTCTTGCTGGATGAAATATCTTATTTTAGACACAATAGAAGTATAAACACTATCACTTGACTGTCTTTCTTCAAACATATTTATAAGAATTTTCTTCAAACCCAAGTCTTAAGCCATGTGTAGGCCCTCCCAAACTCTCCTATCATCAGTTGAGATTGCATCTGCACTATCTATGAATTTATCTACACTATCAATGAATTTAGAGAAATCTCCAATTCAATGTTCCTGTGAATATTTTATTTTATTTATTTATTATTAAAATATTAAAAACAAAAAAATTGATTAATAAATCACACTTTTTCATCTCTTACTCTATAATTCACTTCTATTCTTGTCAAGCTCACTCAACTAAACAAATACAAATATTATAAAACATTAATGAAAAACTACATTTTATCATTCTCAGGTTTCGCCCAAGGCCGGGGGACGCAGTTGCTGTTCTATTCAGTCCCCAAAGGAGACGATAAATATTGAACGTGCATGATTGGTTAAACTAACTAAGCCCAACATGACAAATACAAGACGACTCTCCAAAGATGATTCTCTGCTCTCTCTTCCAGGGATGAAAAATATGAATCAATCATTGACTATGCCTCTTTTATAATATTCTAAGTGTAGAGTAAAATATTTATTCACAATCTTAAGTTTTGAGACTAATGGAGTGTAAATCTTATAACTAGCAAGGGCAACAGGCATCTACCAATATATTAATTCTTACACTTGGTAGGAAAATTTAATTTCATGCTCGGCTGTATACTTGTTTGGGAATTAATATTAATCCCCATTTTCGTCTTGTCGGATAATAGCACATTCGTCCTTATATATATATACCCATTTGAATATAATTCATGTTAAAAAGAACATATTATAATATATTAAGTATTTATTCAAATATATATTTTAAATATAAATTATATATATTATATTAAATATAGGACAAGTTAAATACTATGATTTCATCTCCATCCTCGTACTTGAAAATTTTTCAAACCTATTCCCATCCCCATTTTGCAATATCTTTACTCAGCTCGGATCAAATAAAGTTTGCAAGTACTTGTTAAGTGAATAAAATTGCCAATCTCTACTTCCAACCCAAAAATTATGGACAAAATCTTGTTTGCCATAAATTTCTGAAATATATATTCGATATTGGGTATGATATTGGAATCAATCCCTATATTTCTAGGATAAGGAAAAGTGTGCTTACATCACACCAATATGAACGAAAATATAAAAACTCTTGTTCATTCCCGTCCTTCAATTCCTCTACTCTTTGGGTTTTTCAACCGATTAATTTAACCTTTCAAATATATTTATAAGGGTAAATTTATATTAATATTAATAAAAAAATTATTTACTAAAATGTATTTTTGAAATTTATTTACCAAAATGTGTTAAATACTAGTTGTGTTAAGAAATTGGATCATAAGGATTCAAATTCTGGGGGAAATAATTGAGTCTTGAGGACTCAACTTCAACGGGAAAATTGGTTCCCCAAGAACTAATTTTAATTAGTCTTAGAAACTGGATCTCACTAAGAAAATCTATTTTCCGAGAACCGATGTTAGAGGGCTGGGTTGGCATTTGTAAAGCTCCATCCAAGACAGAGCTATAAAAACTCTCGTCATCCAACAAGAGTTGTACAATAGAGCTCTTTTAATTTTAAAAGAACTAAAATTTTCTAACTAATCATTTCTTCAAAAAGAATAAGCCTACATAAACATTTGCTTAAAATCTTACAACTATTAATAACTAAGTCAATCTATGATTTAAGAATTTATTTGCTTGTTTATTTATTTTTGAAGAGGATTGTGGAGAGGGACAATAAATTCTTCCAAAACTTCAAAAACAAAAATAGCCCACTAGGGTATAACGAATGCCGACAAAAGCACTAAAAGAATTTTCAAAAAACTTAAAATTTCTACTGTAGGCTTATGACCCAACATTAATGTGGCCGTTGGCCCGAAAAGTCAGCCAGCATTCGAGAGGCTTATGATCAGCGATAAACGGCTGCAAACTGGAAATTTGGATTACGATGCTCTCTTTCTAAATATTTTTATAAACAAGTTTCTCTGATTCAAAAGTTATTACTTATATATAAATACATTTATAATAAATTATGGACTCAAAGTTTTACAACTTTTACCAAGGCCAAGCCAAAACTTCCCAAAAGGTTTGTACTTGTTACCCACCAACAAAACTTTTCTAATCCGTAAGTACAAAGATGAGGGGCTGTCAAACAAAAACTGCAAAGATGAGGGTCTATAAAATAATATATAAATGATATGTAGATCCTTACTATTGCGTCTATGCCTAAAGAATCCTGTTACTGTTGACATTTAAGGAATATCCGCAGTCCAAAACATAGAGAAATTAAACTTAAACATCAGCAATTTCTGCAAGACCTCAATTATACGAAGCTTCAGGATCATTCAGTAGAGGAAAACACCGTGAACTTTCATTTCAAGTTCTAAAACCCATTTACAGTAGAGCTATCCCAAGAAAAAACTAAAACGTGCGCATGTACAACCTTTAATCAACGCGCCATTTCAATGCTCGTTTAGGTTATTGAAGGCTCACCAGAACTAGTTGATGCACTTGGCGCATGGTACACCGGCACAGGCATCTTTGTGGGAAGACTCGGCATCGCCGCCTCAAAATTGAGTACATGCATTGCTTGCCTTATCGACGGCCTCAAGCTCCGGTCTGGGTGAGCACACCACAGCCCGACAATCATCAAGCACTCCACTTGTTTGGCATCGAAGTTCGTGTGAAGCCTTTCATCCACACACGACTGGAGCTGTTCTTTGCCATACAGATCCCATACCCACTCCACCAACCCAATTTGAGAATCACCTTCCAGTGGATCCAATGATTTTCGCCCTGTAGCAATCTCTAGCGCCACCACCCCGAAGCTATAAACGTCCGACTCTTTACTCGCCTTGCCTGTGCTAATATATTCCGGCGCCATGTACCCAAAAGTCCCAGCCAGGCCAGTTGTTTGAGGACCTACTTCGTGGTCCATGAACCGGGCTAACCCGAAGTCTCCAAGCTTGACGTTGAAGCTCGAATCTAGCATTACGTTGCTGGACTTAATGTCGCGGTGTACCACACATTGCTCCCACTCTTCGTGGAGATAGAGCAAAGCAGAGGCTAAACCAAGAGATATCTTGTATCTCACAGCCCAAGTGACAGGACTCCTATTCTTACTGAAGAGGTGGTTATCGAGGCTTCCGTTTGGCATGAACTCATAGACTAGAAGAAACTCCCCACGGTCGTGGCACCAACCCACGAGCTGCACCAAATTTCGGTGCCTTAATCGGCTGATAATCTTCACCTCTGTTATGTACTCCTTTCTTCCCTGCTTAGACCCTCTCGAGATTTTCTTCACTGCCACGGCCATGTCCAAATCATTGAGGCAGCCCTTGTAAACTTCTCCAAATCCTCCCTGACCCAGCTTTCTTTCGCTCGAGAAATTGCTAGTAGCGGAAGATAGATCTTTGTAAGAATACCTCCTGGGTCCCGCGCCTCTCTCGAGATCGTAATTGATCGATGTCGTATTATTTCTCTCTGTTGTTGCTTCTCTATTAGTATGCTTCCTCTTCCACGAAACTATAGATGCTATGATCGCCATCAAAACCAAAGTACAAACTGGAACAGTAACACCCACTATTACTCTGTTTCTTTTAGTGGTATTCCCACTTGCCTCTGGTGTATCTAGAGTTGAACTGAACTCCCATGACTCAAGCGTATGTCGCTCTACGTATTGACTCGTAGCAGCTGAAAATCCAACCTTCACCCACTCGGATACAGCCTCCCTGAGGTCAATCCGGTAAGAAAGACTAGAATTTAGGGGAGGCGTTGAAGTTGCATCATAGGACCAGAACACGCTGAGATTTTGAGTGGTTGCGTTATAGGTGATCCAAACATTGGCTGTGTCCCCGCTGTGAAGGCTAGCGTTCCAAGGAGTGTTCACAGCAGAAGATATCGAATTGTTGTTGATCCCAACATGTTCATACGAACGATCCCATTCAGGATTCACAAAGGAGTCAAACTCAACCGTAACTATCTGGTTCTTGGGCGAATCGCTAGTGGTGGTGTTGAACAAGCCCAGGAAGCCACCGCCTGAGTTGGGTGGGATGTCAAAATCAAGAGGCGCCAGGAAGAACACGAGTCCATGGCCATAATTTTTACTCCCTTGTGTGTCGATTATGAATGAGTAATGGGTGGTGAAGTCGGTGAGCTTTTTGGTCCCTGAGTCCCAGATGCGGACCCTCTGAGCATAGACGGCCCAGCCTACCGGTTTATGTAATTGACTTTGTTAAACTCAATCGCTCCAACAGAAGGTACTGCATCCCCTTCATAAACTATGTCGGTTGCACTGGGATCAAACCGATTTAGTTGGAAATGAATTGAATTCACTGAAGGATGAAGGAGGAAGAAGATAGAAAAGAAGACAGCAGGATGGGCCTGTAGAGACGTGAACAGGGTTGCAAGGTGGTAGGCAAAGGCCGCCATGGCTGGGATTGGACAAAGAAGATGAGCAAGTATAAGACCTTAACTACCTGAACTTAGTATAGATTCATATTTTTCTTTTTATACAGAAGAAACTGGTCTGATCCTTGATGCTCACGTTTAACCTCCCCACTTTGTTTGATACCCAGAAGAAGATTCGTTGAAAGGGAGGTAAATTTCCGAAAACAATAAAAGAATGACTTGAGCTTTGTAAATCCATGGCCGGCTCATCCGTTTTAATACTCCATGTCAAAATAAAAAATGGAAGGAAAGGGAGAAGAACACGACTCGGAAATAACCTCATCTGCAGAAGATCTGACCTTTCTTGTCTTTGAAGTTCTGCCCGTAGAAACGTTACTCACTGATAGAAAAATAACATCTAAAATAATGGAAAAGTATGCAACATCGAAAACAAAACAATAAATAATTAAACAAATAAATAAACAAATCAAACAGCCAGCTCATAGAAAAAATGAAGCGTGGATCATCCCAGAATCATTAGCACAGAGCTGACCCCGAAAGATAGCCGGAAAATTAGCGGTACAGATCAGTTTCACGGTGGCCGAAATTGCACTTCACATAGTTGGAAACTTTCCCAGGAACTTCTTAGATGAATTTATCAGCGTATATCTGCACCAAGAAACTTATATTTATTCCTAAAGATGTCTTTACGAAATAATTAAGAAAGATAATGTCAACGCTGTCCTCTATCCGTCGATATAATCTTCCCGGGAACTATACCGTCCTGCGACATACTGTCTCTGTTTAGTATAATTATGAGGGATGTTGTTTAACTTGAAATTTTTGGGCTTTTCTTTTTAAATGGCACTATGACACAATTCTATCAGTAGCCTAGAATTTTAGATTAATCAAAAAGAAACCCATTAAATTGAAGTAATTAACTTGGGAAGTCAACAGAATGTGGCGTAGCTGAACAGCAAAAGAACGTGAATGCAGAAAATTGGCTGCTTGATTTTGATTCTTAGAAGTAAGCTTAAACGTCATTTGCTCTACACTGACAAAAACAATTCCCGAAGGAAAATAAAATTAGACGAAATTGCGTTGACAATTAAGTCCTGTTAGGTCCGCCGATTCCGATTTCTATGGGGATAATTAAGTTTTCAATCAACTAAATGACTGGTTGGCACATAATTATTTAGTTTAAATTATTAGGAAAATCAGATTTAAGTAGATATAGGTGTAATAATTAAATGAACACTTCTATTAAGAATGTTGTACAGACAAGGTTTCAGAATAATGTCAACTTCATCACGCCAGCAGCTCCATCATCTTCTGGTCCCTTTTTTCTATCATTTTTCCCTTTTAAAATTTTCCTTTTTTTAACACTTTTCCTTTTGAAAATTTTTTAACCTAAAACTAACAATTTTTATACTGTACTCAATTTCTGAAATAAACTGTATCACTTATATTTAAAATAAAAAATTTTATTATATATAATATATATTATACATTTTATTACATATTACATATATTATATTTTATTAGATTATCATTTATTATATATATATATGCCCATATATTATATATTATATATGTCTACATATAATATATAATCTTATATAATATATTGTATTATACTTACGTACATAATATATACACACATATACATACACACATAAGGTGTGTGTATCATTATTGATATTTTAGCCATTTTTCACTTTAATTTTTTATTTTTAATTTCATCGATTCAATCTTATATAAGTTTTTTAATTTATTCTTTTTCTTCATTTCAACTTTCAACGTTCTAATTTTTTTATATAAACTTTTATCTCAAAAATAATATATAAAAGAATATAATTTTAAAAAATGTCTCAAAATATACACAATAAAATAACGATAACTTAGTTACTTCTAAAGTACTATGCTCTATAGAGGAGTCTCAATTTTGAAAAAATATATTTTCAAAGTTGAAAGATAACGACTCCTAAATATCATTAGCTTTTGGGTATTCTTGTCTGACTTGTGTTGGTTTAAAAATACTTAAAAAATGATTTTTGTAAAAATGATTCTTTTTTAAAGTATTTTTATGCTAATTGTAAAAGTAATCAAAATTCTATTTTTTAAAAATAAAAGTTTACAAAACACTCTAAAATGATATAAGCATTTTTTAATAAAAAATTTATTTTATAAAAAAAAAAAAAGAAAAAAAGCTAAAACAAACGCACCCATAGCTTCTCAAATGTTGAGGGATTAAATTGTGTTGATAATTTATTTAAATAAAACTAAAACAATTTCAAATTGGCACATAAATACCACTTAGCACTTGGATCTTAATTTGCACTTCTAGTACCGGCTAATTATATATTTACTCTTTATTAATTGAGAACCCAATCAAATTAAAGCAATTAACCTGGGAAGTCAACACAATTTGGTGGACATCAATGCAGAGGTCAACATAGCTGCTTGAGCTTTTTACTTATAAAAGTAACCTTAAAAATCATTTTCTATGCATTCTGCAAAATAATCTTCAAAGAAAATAATATAAAATTTAGAGACGCATTTTTAAAAATTTTCTATTAAATTAATGACAACTGACAAGTTGTCCAAACAATTATTAAGCTTAAAAATATTAAAAAATAAAAAATAATCATATTTTTCATATTATTAGACATAATTATTCGTCAAACATATATATAATTTCTTTTTCTTTTTTTAAAAAAAATAAAAAAAGTATGCAAGTTCTGGACCACTCAATAAAAGAGGTTTACCATGTCTTAATAGGTATTTTCGTCATGGGCCTGTTTCCTGGAATGAACTGGACAACAAATAATATGGGCTCGACCTTGCTTCAAGTCCAATCTGTAGTCCTATAGTATAGCTTGGGCGAATCTGACCAAAGTTCAAAGTTAGGCCCATCTCCAATGCACTACCACAAATACATACATATATATATATATATATATATTGATGAATTAAGAAATCATAGGATTGTTTACCCACGTCGCCCAGGACTTATGTAAGTATAAGATATATATAGCCAATGCCCTACTTTTTCTTTTGAGAAATTGTAAGGAAGAGTAACACTATATATTAATTGTCTAATCTTTTTGTCATTAATCGTTGTGTTAACTTAATCGTCATTGGCCCATTTTATTACTTTTTCTATTAACATAAAAATTTATATTCATTAAATTACTCAATAACTCACGTAAAAGCTAATCAGTTGCATAGATGCAGCTCGAGCAATGCTTTCTCTACTTTGGGTTTTCTTCTTCCCGTCGCAAGAAAGCAAGTTTTTTCTACTTTTTCCATCTTTCATGGGTTTGATTCCTTGGATTTTCGTCCAAGTAATAGAATATTTTTGAGGATCAGCAAGCCTAGTTTTGACTACTTCCAAATTACCTACAAAATTATATTGCTTCGGTGTGACTCCGCCAATTCCACAAGGTTGACGATGGACCTGACGACGTGAGTCGGCCCAAGGGGAAGCCTGTGTAAATGAGAAGCCATGTTTCCTTTTATTCGACCACCAAACATGCCCTTTGCAATTTTATTTTTATCTTAGTTGAAAATTATGCTAAGTATGAATGTTAATGGGTTTAATTTTAAATCTGAATTTGATTTGAAATTTAATATTCAAGTCCCATTAAAATATTCAATATATTAAATTCAACTATAAATATTCATAATTTAAAATAAGTGAATTGTATTTATAATTAAACAATTTGACCAGTTAAGGATTTGAATATAAATTTTAATTATATTTTTAATTAAATTAATAATCTCGTATATATGATATTGATAAATTCAAAATTATAGGAATTAAATTAAGAAAATCAAAAAATTTAAAAACCAAATATGATTGATGAATTAGAGTTGAGAGATTTCAATTCAAAAAATGATTATTTTTTTTATCAGATTCAATTTTCTTATAGGATTTCGAATTACTCATTAAATTTAGATAAAATTTAAAAATATATAGATCTTATAAAATTTCAAATTAGATTTGAATATAATAATGATTAATTAGATTCAAATTTAAATATTCTTAATTTAATCTAAATCTGATTTGTCGATAAATCTAATGTTAAGTGACCTTTCTCTCCCTAACCAAGAAATTAATTAATTAATAAAGAAAGAAAGAAAATGATTGGTCAAATCTCGCGTTATCCTTGGAATATGACATCACCATTTTAATACACTAATGAGGTAGCGAGGAGGATAGGAGAAGTATATAAAGTCTAGAGCAAATAATTGGATTAAAGCCTAAATTTGAGCTAGCTGAGTACTACTTCCTACTTAAAGACAGCACATAATTTAGACATGAACCTATAATTAAAGAACAAGGATAGGCTGTTAAAGTCAATCTCCTTGAAAATTGCACGACAAGAAATGCCAGCATAGCTGGTCTATCCAAACCACCGTTGTTAAATCATTACGTGTTGGTTGTTGCTAGGAGTATTTAAGTTCCCCTTTTTTTAAATTTTTTATAAAATTATCCTGTATTAATTATTTAAATTTTTTTAGTATTAAAATCAAAATCAAACTTTTTGATATAAGTGTTATTTTGGTTTTATTCAGTTTCAGTATAATTCAGTATAGTTTTTATGTTTTTTAATTATATTAAAATATTTTTATATAAACTACTAAAAATTTTACAAAATCACACAAAAAAATTCTTTTAGTATATAACTAATATGAAAAAAATCAAATTATTTCAAAATTATATAATGTTAATAATCTCCAACATTTAAGGATTTAATTTCAAAATTTTCATTAATAATCATTTATAACTTTATCTTCTTAATTTCACAATATATTAGAACAAATTAAAAATCATATAAAAATAATGAAAAAGTTAATTTTGTTTAACCTAATTTAATACGAAACTTTTAATCAATTTAATTAAAAACCTATTATTATTAGATGATTTAATTAACTTATATATAATATAAATATTTTAATTAATAATTTATAATCCAATTATTTAGAAATTTAATAATTTCATATACAATATAAACAATTTAATAAAGTATTAAGCATAATATATTAGTATGGTATAGTTTAAACTTTAATTTTATTTTTTTTAAATATGTATTTATTATTTTACACTTAATTTTTATTGATAGTTAAAATATAAAATTCAACAATTTCTATTTCAAAAACTGAAATTTAATTCTCAATTATTTATATTTATTTGGCAATAGTAATTTTTTTTAACTCGAGGTTTTGGATGGAAAAAAAAAGTCTAATACTTAGTTCAAATTTCTGTACATATAATTTTTTTCTAAAACTACTTTTTAGATCTGTTAAGTAAAACTTTTTGTTTATTTATAATGAAAAGGTGTATTTAAGAAGTTCTTTTTTTCTTAAATTAGGATTGATCATGTGTTAGGTAATTTATGAAATTTAAATTAAGTGACAAACTAGTAAGTGATTCATTATATTATAACATAAATTTGATAATAAAATAAAAAAATAAAAAAAGAATGATATGATTTTCTAATGGACATATAACTTAATAAATTAGTTATAAAAGTATAAGATATATATTTTAATCTTTTTAGCACTTTAATCTATAATATTTATACTTCTTTTTCATAAAATTGCTTAACCTTTTAATTTCTTTAATTTACTATTGAATTATAGTTAACACTTTAGAATTTAATCATTTTGTATATGATACAAATAATTTAATAAATTATTATATATAATATTCAGTTCAGAACGATTTTTTTTTTTGTTTTGAATTTATAAAATCAAAACCATATCAAAATATTCAATACTGTATTACCTAATATCAAAATTTATAAATTTTTTTAAAAACACATAACTTTCGATATGGTTCGATACAATGCCGTTTGGTTCGATACGGTTTTAAAAATTATGAACACCCCTAGTTGTTGCACTAGATACTTATATATAAAACTGTTAATGGGTCATATTTAGTTTAAATCAGATAAATTTATATCTAAATTTGATCTAAAATTTTATAAAATTTATTTTTGTTAAATTATATCCGAATTATATAAATAATCTAAATTTTGATCGGAAAATCTGATCCAATAAAAAAATACTTTTCTAACACTTACTCCCAACTGTATTTCATCAATCTCTAGAATTTCTAATTTTTTATTTTAATCCCTATAAATTTAAATTTATTAAAATTATATATAAAAAATTATTAATTTAATAAAAAGCATTATTAAAATTCGAATTCGAATACTTAATACATTGAATTGCTTAATTTCATATTTAATTTATTTTTTTTCAATTATAGACATTTGTAAGTAAATATTTTAATCGAATTTGTATTCTAAAATTCATATCAAATTTATAAAAAATTCGAATTAAAATCTAACACATGCAGACAGCTTTGCTGATACATTAATGCCACATTACATGTTAAAAAACATCTGGTTTTTATATTTTTTGAAAAATAAAATACAACTTATAAAAAAAAAAGGATTTTTGGTTCAACTTTTTCATAATCTTACAATAATTGGTGTCTGAGTTTTCAACTATGTACACGCTTCTAATGTCCCAAACGTGTGAGACATGAAAGGTTCAGAAACCAAATTTTACTGTGTATGCTTGGACGAGGTTGAACAGAAACTCCATTTATTATGATAGCAACCACTCTCGTGGATGAAAGCGATGAAAGTCATGTTATTATTAAAATAATAAAAATAAATATAAAAGATTGTAGTGCCTGGCCCTCTTCTAGAATAAATCATTAACAACAGGAGAATAATTTATCATGTTAATTATTGGTATTGCTTGTGATCTCCCGAGCCTCAACAATTTTACTATGCTGTTCAATTCCCAATTTATGTTGCTACGTACAGGATGCTGTATCTGTTTGTATTTTTTTTATTAAAAAAAATTAGGTTAGGAATGGGGTTCACTATGAGTATTACTTTTATAATTATGTCATTGTTATATAACTACGTGCGACGGATACAATTGACAGGTAAACTCATCATGAGTCACAAATATGGTAAGTTTTAACTATATTAATTAATATATTAATTGTTAGGAGTCATTATTTTAAAATATACATTTATTGAGATGTGTAGTATCAATATTTGTATCTTAGTCTCCATTTTATCTTTGTCTGAAATTATTCAATACAAAACTATTACCATCTTTTTTTAAAAAAAAATATATACGTATTTGGGTATGCATTCTTTATATCTCAGCATTCTTTCCTTTTTTTTCCTGTTTAATGTTAAATTCGTGACATAAATCATAGAATCAAAGGAGAAAATAAGCATACTTGCTCCCAACTCTCCATATTTTTGCAAATGCCCCCATGATTTTAATTATTACCTAGCTAACCCCCCTTCATGGCAAGGGATTCCCCTCCCCAAGAGAAAAAAAAAAAAAAAAAAAAAAAAAAAAAAAAAAAAAAAACTCCCCTTTAATTTTAGATTTTTACATTGAAAAACTGCCTTCCCTTAGAATGTAAATTTTGAATTTTTTTAATTTATGATAGAAGAGTATAATTTTCTTAAATTTATTTTTATTTATGTTTTTAATTAGCGGTTTCAACGTTACATTTTGTTTTGCCATACTCTTGTATATTATTAAATTAATTTTTTCATTATCGAATTATTTTTTTGTAATCCAGCAAGTTGATTATTTTCAATATTTAAAGTAAAGAAATTAACAATATTTTATTTATAAAAATTGTTTGTATACTTTCACTCTGCCACCTAGTTAAAACGGTTTTCTAATTCCGCCATTAATCATTGTGTTTGTATCTCCACAGCGGATAGTGATAAACTAATACTCTATTCATTGTTGATCGGGATTAGTCACGAAGCTTTATTGTCTATGTCTTTCGAGAGGGGATAAAGTGGGGTAAATGGATGAGGGTTTGGTGTTAAAATTCAAACGTAGGTACTCCTTTTTGGTAACACCCCGGACCCCCCGCCAAGCAACTAATCCTCGCGGTACTCCACGAACCAAACCCTCTTGTCATTGCCAGTCCTAGGAGTTAGAAAAAATAAAACATAATACAATAAATCACACACACTCTTATCTCTAGTACTGTAGCTGGTGGTGACAATGCAGTGATTGTCTGTTTGTGCATGCTTCACTTACACACTCCCATAGAATATCAATATCCAGAGGAGGGTAGATGACCGACTTCGTTTAGGTCATGTCCCACACAGGAGAGCTTGAATTGCAAGAATTAGACATCCCTTTCTCGGGAAAAAGACGAGGAAGTGCGCTCTCATCTTGGTTAGACAGACGATGAATTATATATTTGGAGCCTCTTCATCTTCACCAAGTATTTGTAATGGTGGCGATATGAAAGACTGCATTTATCTTAGCTTTGCCCACCATCGCCGGCCATGGCAAAATAATTTTTGGGTTGGTGGGAACTTCTCTCGTGTTAATTGTTTAATGTAATTAATCAATATTAAATCTTGATCTATTCCAAAAATTACTAGTTTCTTTTTATTTTTCTCTTTTAGTATTTTTATTTTTTGTAAACAAGAGTTTTAATTATCTTTTATTGGTAACCAAGTGCTTGTAGTGCATGCATGCATGCTTCATGGTGCGTAGAACCAAAACACCGAGAAAAACGAAGATTGTTTGGAGGACATTTGCCTACTTCCCACGTATTTGTAATAGTATTAGTATCAGATTTCGTACGTATTAAGACGATAAATGGATATATTATTCTCTGGAAGCTTCCAAAGTGGCATGATATTGAACAAAACTGAAAAAACAACTAGTAAAACGGAGAAATCGATTTCTTCAGCGCTAAATTATTTTTAAAAGACAAAAGAAATTTTCTTTTAAATAAAAGAGTAGGCGGAGATGGAAAAGGACTGCTAACCACACAAGATGTAGATGGATTTGCTTTGTTTTTAGTTTCTGACAACAAATAGAAATGTTGATTTTATATTTACAGAGATAATTTTTATGGCTTATCCTACTCCATATTGAATATTAATTATGCAATTGCTAGATGTATAAGTTCTAGAGAGACAACTGGTAATAAAACAACTCAGTCGTTTGGACATAAGTAATTTAGCTTAGTAAATTGTTTAAGCCAATGTTAACAAGCAATTTGAGTTTAACAACATGGGCCTGATGTTACAGTGTTTAATTAACCTTCACGCTTGAGTTGTCCTCTCAAGGGGGAGCAAAATTGGTGGGAAGGTGGTGCGGTGAAAGGTCCAGCAATGCTCGGATTATGCAAAGCACGTGAGAAGAGTTATTGGGTAACATAAACACACTACGAGAATTACATTGAAAGATATGTTACAGAACATAAGCCGTAAAAGAGTACATGAACTGAAACTGATCATTTGAATACATGCAATGCTCATATTTTTCAAGTAATCCATTTGTTACGATTAAGATAATCGTAGGTCAAGGGCTTTAATAGAAAGCCCGCTTGTGACTCAATCACTTCCATTTGCCCTTTCTGCAAGTGCATGTAGACGACCCAGTCACCATTCCCCAAAGGGCTAGGCATGGGCATGACATAACCGGCCTCCCCGCCCCAGGGAAAATGGTACGACCCCAACATCGGCTTACCCCACCCGAAGTCCAACTTGGAAACCGGAAAACGCTGGCCCGAGGACACCACAAAGGCCGGTCCTTCCTCCTCACTACCACCAGTGGCATATATTTTAGCCAGAGCCTGTTCAGGCCGATGGGCCTCCACCCAGTCTATAAGATCCAAAAAGTGGTCTTTAGTCACCGCCGACTCCAAGAACTCATGGACAGAATCGGCCACCCAACTCAGTGGCCTCTCCTTAAGCTCGTTGGTTCTCTCCTCACCGAACGGAATCGACAAAACATTGCCAAAATAAGCACTCATGAACTTCAACTTATCGCAATCCCCATCGCTCAATCTTATCCTTCCATCTACGACTATGCCCATCTTGCAAACCTTGTCTCTTTCAGCGTCCACTGAGGCGGCGACCATCTTCCATAATAAGGCACTAAAGGCCTCGAGCTTCGTCTTGTTCTTGCCCTTGTGGCCGTCACTGGCGAGCAACTGGAGACGGATGAGCTGGTCAGACTCGATGTAGTAGATGCGACTGATCAGCTTGTCCGCGTCGGGTTTGTGGGGTTTGGGAGGTGGAAGTGAAGAGATGGGGACGTACAAGTGGTGAACTGAGTCGTCGTAAGATCCAGGGCGTCGTGGATTGAGCAAGGAGCGACGGAATGATGGGACAAATGAGGGTTGCTTAGATTGAGCCATCTCTGCCCAGGAAACTAAAAACATGTCGGTGGAGTAAGCGTCGGCCACACGATGGTCGAACGAGCACGCCACCACGAGTCCTCCGCATGTCAGCTCCGTCGCCTGTAAAATCATATCATTAGTAAGGAATTAATGTCAAACTGGATGGAATATAATTTGGCTATAGTCCCACTCGCAAAACATCAGTTACTTGAGATTTTTTTTTTTTACATCAGATAAAAAGGACATAAATTTTATAAATATGTTATCATTTGAATTATTATATTAATTATTTCAGAAAACAAAATACGATTCTCAGCTACTAATTATTTTTGTAGAAATGAAGCAAATGATCAAGCTATAAGCATTCAACATTATCTTGATAATTTAGCTTTACTGTTTTCCTAGTGCCATAGGTACAACTAAAATGACATATTCCTTCAAAAAATTAATATGTCAATTATAATTTAAATAATTATGATAAATTATAATAAAATAGAAAATTATGTACAAATATAAAATTATTTAAAACATATCCAGATTATAAATCTGCCAGAAAATTAATAATAAGGAACCGCACAAAAATGAGGTTAATTACTGCTTTTTTTACCTGTATTTTATTGTATTTAAATACAAAAATAAGTAAGAAGATAGATTAAATACTGCTTTTTTTTACCTATATTTTATTGTATTTAAACACAAGAATAAGTAAGAAGATAGATTAGACAGATACATTAGTTGTGCATAAATGGATCAGTATATTAATTGATACCGATACAATAGATATTAAAACCAATGATTCAAAAAATTAGAACAAGAAGAAGCTAACAAGGGTAGTAGCAAATTTTTTTTTTTCCTTTTGTATTTCTTTTTCTTATTTTAATGAGTTGACATTTTAATTTCTAAAATTTTTAATTTTACTTTGATTTGGCCGCGAGTAGGTAAACCGTTGAAATTATTTTGACTGCATCAACTTTGAAGATCTAATCTTATTACTCACGATATATTTTTCCTTTGGTGTTATAGCTATAGAGTCAAGGTTGGCAAGAAAATTACTGAGTTTTCTTCATTTTCTTATTAGGGAAAATAAATTTTGGGTTTTTGATTACTGACCTTTTTGTCCTAAATTTAATCTAAAATAAATCCTAAAAAAAAAGCTTGAGAAAAAACTCAAAATAACAGAATAGGGCCGAGGAAATTACTGATCTTCTGTGAACCACTTAGTGGGATCATGACGTCGTGAACAGCGAAAAAATGAAAAGAAATGTTAAACACAATATGATATGAATTTTTTTTACACACGTCTATATTATATCGGCGTTCTGAACCTTTATTAGAGGTATAAATTACGGATAGAGGAGAGAAAAATTTTAAATTAAAATCTTAATCTATAGATAAATTTTATAAATATATCACCATGTAATTTTTAATTAAATAATTAAATTATACAGTAAGACACTTGCTTATGTATAAAAATATTTTAAATTGGATTATGTAAAAACGTATTTTTGACAAGACTAATTACACATCCTAAATGGGACTAATTTTAAATAGCAAACTCGAGAATAATACTTGTGTAAAAAGATCAAAAAAAGTATCCCTTTCTATTCTGTTTGAGGTTTTAAAAGAAATGATAATATCTGATAAAACTTGTTATCCTGAGTACCAATTTAAGGTTTCTACGTTATGGGAGATTAACAATAAATGATTTTGTGGTAAAGCTGAGAAATACAAAATAATCTTTTTAAGGTAAGTATATGTTTTTTTCTCTGAAAAATGGAAAGTCAGACTTGTGACGAACACATCACCTGAACGCAAAACACGCCTTCCTTCTTCTTGGGAACAAGCTTACCTTCGACGCTGTCATCGGGATTGTAAAGGTCGAGATCCCGAAGCTCAACGTCGGCGTAAGCCTCGATGAAGTCGACTCCTCTGTTGTTGCAGAGAAGCTCCGGCTCACCGACGGTGTTTTCCACCATCTCGCCGGCGAATGCATAGTAAGACATCAAAGTTTGGGCCAAGGCCTTCTTTAAAACGGAGACCTTGGATGCAAACGTCAATGTGTGAGACAAGTCCTCATCTCGGCTCGTGGGATTTCTGTAACAGAAGAAAACACCCACGTCGAGCGGAGGCAAGAGCAAGTCCAGGTTGGACTGCGGCAGCCAATGCTCTTGCAGCGGCAACACCGCCGCCACCACCTCCTTCCTGCTCACCTTCACCGAGAAGTTTCCCTTAGCACCCATTCTACACAGAGAGAGATAGGGCGATACAGAGTTAAAAAGAGAGAGAGAGAGGTTTGGGTGGTGGCCCTGGTGGATTAATGGCAAGATTTATAGGGGACTGTGTGGGGTGAAATATTCAAGGAAACGTCAAAGGTCATTATCACTGATCAGAGATTGGTTAGTTTTAAACAGCAGAGGAGAAATAAAAGAAGGACAATTATACGGTGCCCTTTCCAAAGGAGGGCACCGGTACAATTTCTCTCGCAATGCGATGGGTTCCATTGCCGGGCCCTTTGTATTGTGAGGGGCCTCACTGCTGAGTCAATCCCTTCTTCCTTTCATAGAAGAAGGGGATTGTACCGGTGCCTTCCTCACCAGAGTGTTCACCGTAAAAGAAACATTTTAACATCCCCGTATGACTCACGCAGACTATTTGTTGGCCATGGTCCAATTCTTACTACTGCCGTCTGTAGCACGCCTGTGAAGAGTTAATACTTCTCCTGCTAATTATTAGTTGTAAGGGAGAACACTCCGATGTCTAAGAGGCACGGGTACCCTCCCCCCTTCTGTGAGAGGAGACTCGGCAGTGGGGCCCCTCACAATGCAGGAGTCCGGCAATGGAGCTCATGAGGGGTGGACACTGGTGCCCTCCTTTGGAGAGGGTATTGTAGAATTTTTTTACTTGTAAAAATCAATCCTTAACTATTATTATATTTATTAATTAGCACACTTTTTGTATTTAGAAATTTTTTATAGTTGATTAATTGAATTAATTTTTTTCACTTGTAAAAGAATTTGACTTACATTTTTATTTATTAACCTGCAATATTATTTCGTATTTTAATTTTTAAAATAATATAATATAATATATAAAATATTAGAAATAATTACTGAACTAGTTCATACTCAATAAACTATTAGATTTAGTAACTCTTGAGTGGTTGCACAGCAAAAGCAAATAAGATGATTATTTTAATGAAAAGATTTTCTTAGAAATTTTTTCATATATTTTATTTCTAGTGCATGAGTTTCTATAAAAATTACATGTAATTAAATATTATGCTTTGTTTTATTAGATATTATGATTTAACATTTATCTATTACATTATTATTGTTAAAAAAGAAAACATAAAATTTTTAGTGTCATTTTGATAGTAAAATTTTTTATATATTTTAAATAATTTTTTTTATTTAATATTAATTCAAATCCTCAATAAAAAAAAATTTAGTTTAAAAATACTTGTAATATCAAACTATTATTTTCGATGAAGAAAAACATTTTAAAAATTATTTAAAAAGAAAATAAAATAGCAGAGCTACATATGGCAGCAGCAGAGATGGGGCAGCGGCACTTGGCTGCTGCCTAGTTTTTTCCCCATCTGTTTTGTTACAAGTTAACTTGATCATCTGTAAACTAATTTCAGGATGTTGTATTACCGCCACGTCATAATATTAATAAAATCCGACGGTTGAGACGTCCTTATTTTGGACCCAAACGGGACTTCAATTCAAATGATTTTGTTTCCTTCAATTTCTAAACATATACGTCACAAACAAAAATATTTGTGAAATTATTTTTAAAAGATGAATGATTAATTGATACCTAGTATAAATGTAAAACACTTACATCATATTTCGTACTGTTAATTTAGTTAAAATTAACGAATGACATTAATTAATATTAATTTTTAACAACTTCTAACGAATGATATTAATTGATATTAATTTTCAACAATTTTCAACAGATGGAATTAATGTCATCTATTGATTTTAAAAAAATATCTCCTAATATCTTGAAAATTAAACAAAATTTTATTTTCAGAACTGTTATAAATTTTCACTTAAAAATGAAAAATAGAATTATTGTGCGTGAATAATTAAGTTTCACCATTTTTAACCTTTATTATATTATCATGTGATACTAAATTAGGTTAATAAAATTTTAATATTAAATATATGAATTCAATCAGCTCTGCTTCTTGGACGGCCAATGTTTTAGTCTCCCCTGCCGCCCAAGTTTTAGTCTCCCATGCAGTAATCGATCTTCTCACCGTAGAGAGTTTATTTAATATTATTTTTTTGGGTAGCACTATTCTTTCATAATAAAGTGAGACATGTATTATATTATATATAGAGAGAGAGAGAAAGAGAGAGAGAGACAGAGAGGGAAAGAAGGGATCTATTAACAATATTATAAGTGTAAAATAATTATATCATTGCTTACACGATTAATTTAATCAAATCTAATAGATGAGATTAACTATAATTATCTTTTAAAATATTAATTATAACTGTCTCTCTTTGAAAATATTAATTAATTTTATCCATTAAATTGATTAAATTAACACTATAAAATTGATTTAATTATTTTACATTTACACTAGTATCAATTAATCTTTTCCCATCTATGTACTAGTGATACAAGTTGCTTCCTCACACTCCTAATTGTTGTATTTACCTATCAAACTTCCAACAAAGACTTTCATCAAACTATAGTTTGTTCATGTGTATGTCTACATCAAAATCTCGAAAGTAAAACTTATAATTTTTTAAAAATTTAAATTAAAAGAAATGAATTTGGAGACAAAATCTTGTCTCCATAATGGTTTGTTTTGATGCGTCCTGCAAAAAGGTCCTTACTGATAAATTTTGTTTATTTTCGAGGGAAAACAAATGAATTCGAGCATTTCATGTATAATATCATGTAACACTTTAAAATAGAGATAAAGAATAGCAACTCTCTGAATGACATATGAAGATAACAATGCGTGCTAGAAAATAGATTCAAACATCACGCGAGCTTGTTTATAGTTTAGTGGAAATTCTACAAAGTCGAAAATGATTTTTTAAAAAATAAAAATTCAATCCGATATTAAGGCAATAAAAATTATAAAACAAGATATTATAATGTCATATTCGTAACGTTAGTTATGTAATTAATCAATTAAATTGAAATGCCATACTAGACGTGCCTCTCCTCACACGTTAGCACATCATTTGTCATTGCAGCTCCTAGTAAAATTAATCTTAAACCCCACCCCTCACTAAGACCCATTGTTTTTTAGTAATAATTTAAAATTGTCACGTAGTAATTTTTTGTCTAAAGTTCAAATTTTATCTGATTTGAAGTCATGGGTTTGCTGCAACAGTACAATGGATGACTTTCAAATATTAGGTTACCAGAAATCATTAGTGGGTAATTAACAATTTCTATTGCCAAATATCCCTTAATCTAGAATCATGCCATTAATTTAAAACATTAATATTTTAGTCCTAGACTTGTGATAGTCCAAGGGTTTTAGTTTTAGATATTTTTGGTGGTTAATTTAAATTAAGAAGCCCTAATTATTTATCAAAATATTTTACAAGCTAGTTTGTACTCACTTGTTTGTCTTCCAAATGTTCTCACAACTAGACGCGCTAAAAAGCTAGCGGAGCAGGCGGAGATTCCGATATATAATAAGGATCTTCTGCGGTTCAATAAATTACGTATATCTCTTCTTTTTTTTAATTTCTCCGCTACCAGTGTAGCAGCCTCCACGAAAACGCACTTAATAATTAAAATAAAAAGAGATCCCACCATATTTTATGACTGGGGGAGACTAGACACATATTTTATGATTGGGGAGACTGGACACAGTTAGACATAAGATTAATAATTTTGTTTAAATTATATAATATTTATCTAATATTAAATGATATTTAAAAAAATTGAGATAATATGATAAGAAATATTTTACATAAAATATTTTTGTAAGTACCATTCATCGTTCTCTTTCTTGTGAATATTTATAATTTGGTTTTATTTATTTTTTTATGTGAATAATAAGGGTATTTTAGTCAAAATAAGAAAGATAAGAAATTTGATAATAGCTAATAAAACTATCACACCCTTTTCCTTTAACACAATTACTTCCACACTAATACATATTTATTTCAAAATTTTTCTCTAATTTTTGTATATATATACTAAACGTATGATAAAATAAGATAAATTTATTTTATCTCATATTATCAACCTAACCAAACAGAGCCTGGAGAAAAAATTTATTTGGCCAGCCAAATCAGTGGTTTCCGTCTTGTTAATTTGGATTTACAGTGATAAATATCAAGCTCAACCAGTTCCTCAGCACAAGAATATTCTTGGAGGGGCCGTGCTTGGTCGACATGGAAGCCACGGCTCGTCTACTTCTTGACTTAGTCTAACTTTTTTCTCCACATAATTTGGTCAATCACGATTCTTCTATAGAAAAGAAAATAATAATACAAGCTCCCACTCCTCATTTTCTCCACTTAGCTACTATATCATAGCTTGACACGGTACCATCAACTACAAAAAGTACTGTATTTTTATTCATAAACACAAAAAATATGAGAGCTTATGAAACTTTAATTTAGAAAATTTTCATAGCAAATATTGTTAGATGTCCAGTTTAGCCACTATATTACGTAGCGTGCCTACTTTATTTAGTCAGAGTTTTTTTTTCCCCCATTTAGCCACAATTACGTTGGATTTGAGTTGGTTGGGTTTTAAGCTTCTTAAGTTTATCACGTAGTCCACAAGTTAAAAATTGATAAGAGCCAAATTCTAACCTACCAAAGCAGACAATACTGACCATGTCATGTCAATCATAGACCTCTTATTTGCCTTTTATATTTTATACGCAACTGTTCTCCAATGTCACACCCACCTTCTTTATAAATATCTGAATTTACTGGATAAGTGTACAGTGGTCAATTACCATTGACAAATTCCCGTGACAACTCCCTACCTACCTAGTCCCAGACTCAGAAAATACCTTGTCAGAACGTAATCTCCTCCCCAAACTCCCTAACTCATAAATTACTTTATCCGAATGTAATCTCTTCGCCAACCTAACTTACCAGGAAATTAACTTTTTCGAATAAATCTCCTCAGTCAAATTTCTCGTTGGGTATGTGACACTTTAAAGAGGAGTGTGTGTGATATGTTGGGGCGAAACTTATATTGACAAAATACGAGAGAGATGTTAGGCTTTTAA